CATGCCCGAATTTCCCCTTTCAAGAAGGTTGTTTATCTTTTCAGCTGGGTTAAAGCAGGCTCACCGTGGGCTTGGGGCATCTTTATGCCCTTATCTTCCTCCAACCTTGCCCTTCTGAGAGTTCATCTATCTGATTTTGCAGGGTCATTCTCTCAGACAGTGCCCAGCCGGACCCTTCCAAGGCAGTCCTTGGCTACAAGCACTTCCCAGATTCACTGCCCACATCCATCCCGGCTTTACAGTCTCTCCCCTTGCCCCCACCAACCTACAGCACAAAGCCGTGTTTCTCTCCTGTCAGCTGAACTGCTCCTCTGCAAACTCCTCTGCTGGCCCCCGCTGTGTCCTTCCCTCAGCCGCCCCTCACCATGCTGCTCCCCCAGTCCTGCAACGCCGAGCTCCCCCTGCTCCTCCTCACACACCTTCCTCCTCTCTCCCCGCCACCAGTTCTCAGCTGTGCAGCCCAGCTGTAGCAACTTGCCCAGTCCTCAGCTGCCGGGTGTTTACTCTCTTCTCCTTCAAACCCCTTTTCTGAGCAGCCCCTGCTTCTCCAGGACCTCACAAACTACTTGTCCTTCGTCGTGTTTCGTTTAAATTCCACAGGCTGTGGGATGGGGGGGGATAAATCTTGAGGTTTATTAACGTCCCACAGACCTGTGCTCTCTTGAAGCCACTGCTTACTAACAAAAATTTAAACACATGTAATAGCATTTGGAAAGGTAAGAGTCTGTGGTTGTAAAAATACCTTATAAAGAACTAGGCACTAATAATTCATTAGGTTTCCTAAATGTGAATTAACAGGTGAGCTGCTATACATTTATAAAACAGCAATTATTTTAACTTGATGTTTAATAACTATGAAATTGTTTTGTCAAAATCGCTCTGTGCTTGCAAATAAGGAATTACTTTTAATCATCCACAATAAAGATCATTAAGTGATTAAGAGAAGATGACCAGTTAAAACACTGGCTTCAAAGAGAACAGATGACACCACCTGATGATATTTCTGGTACAGGCTGCATTTCAGACAAGAGGAAGTTTTGTGCTCACTTCAAAGCACACATTTTGGACATCAGTAAACATGAAAGATCTGACTGTGGGGGATGTGCAATACAGGAGAAGACCAACGCTTCTGATTACATGTCTACACTGAAGTTTCAGGACTCAATGTTTGATTTTTTCCTCTCTTCAAAGAGTGCAGAGAACAGACTGCTTTGCCAACTGGAGCAGTTTCACTGAACTGTAACAGGCAATGCTTGAAAGCCTGTCACTGCGTCTCCCGATCAGAAATGAACAAACAACAAGCACTGGAGGACAGGCATGTAAATACACACACACACACACACACACACACAGTGTATACACCGTGTTGTTTGGATTATTCAGCTACTAACTCAGGGTGGGTAGTTCACAGCTATAAGAAGACCCACTGTGAGGGTACTTAGCAAGCAGCGCTTCCAAAAGCACTTCTTGGCTTTTCAATAGCATGAGAAGCCAAAGCCTCCCTGAAACTCCTTCCACACCACATGTATGACGGAGGTGGGCCCCCTGTAACAGGTAGGCTTCAGCAGTTGCACCATTAAATTGTCCAATAGCTTCGTATAACAAAGCTTGAAACATTCTGCCTCTGGTGCTTGTGGCACCTGTAGGCTGATAGCCTTTGGGCTCAGAGCGGTGGCCTTATGGATCCAAAACCTGGTGACAAAGAGCCGACAGACGTTTCACAGCACCTTCTCTGTGGGGGGTGAAATAGCAGTTTAGAAATCAACTGGCAACTTCACAGAAAACAACTGATTTTCTCTGTAAGTGGCATATGGGGAAAGCAGTTCTCTGTTGACCTGTGATCAAGGGAAATGGAAGATGAGGGAGGAGAAATCAAGTCTGTTTCTTTCCTATCAGGCTATTTCTCCATATGCAGCTCTAAACTTTCAGGTGAAATAAAGGAAAATTTCAGGCTAGCCTAGGGAAGAACATGGACTCTCCTGAGGGAGACCTCCCTTTGGAAACAGGTGGTGCAATTTGAGAACAAACCAGCAGACAAAAATGCCTTTCTTGCTAACTGCAGAGAAAGGTACCATGATTTTGAACTATCTGCACCATGTGGTAAATCTCTCATCACCTGCTGCCAAATTCTTTTGTGCGTATTTTTTGTGGTGCTGGGCAGATGCATATTAAAGAAGACTCGAGGCACCAAAGCTGTAATTTGTGCTGCAAGTTCATTGCTGCATGGAGCAACAATATGTTTCAGGCAGGATTTGGCAAGAATCTGTGGAACACTGCTTTCAGAGAGGACACATGCAGAAAAGCCTCCACGTCAGCAATGTTAATCTTTCCTCTTGATATTCTAGAAATAAAAAAAGAAACTTTTATAAAATGACTGTCTTGCCTGGGAAAGATGAATCATACTGCTTTTCAATAGAGCAGCAGGTTGCCAAGGGACCCTCTTCAAGGTTATTGTTTTGAGTACCTGCAAAACCACCCACATTTTTAAGGTTTTCTACGACTTAGAAATGAAATGAGGAAGATGGAAACAGAGAGATGAAAACTTGACTTAGCTGACTGTAAGACTGTGTCACCTAGGGAAATGTGAAGCAAATTATATAGCACAATTTGAATGATATGAAATTGGTTTAAGCCAATTTTTTGTTAATCAACCTCCCCTTGCAATCCCACCCCTCTCAAATCCCCAAAAGCTGGATTCATCCATAGTTTGACTTCAATATGTACAGCTTATGCCAGAAGATTTTACACACTGGAATTCAAGACACGGCAGTAAGCACCAGAGCACAGAAGGCTCCATCTCCAGTGTATACTCATTAGATTACAGCAAATAATTCAAGCCATTTTCTGCATTCGCACTAGAAGCTGCACTCGCTTTCTCAGCTGATTGCCTCTTCTGGGTTCTGTTCTAGTGCTCAAAGTTAGTGCCATGGAAGTGAATATTAATTTAACCCCCAAATCAAATTATTCACTACCAGTAGCTAGGTAGAAGCTCTAATTCCGTGAATTACCAGTTGCTGATTTAGATCAGAAAGCAAAAACATACCTTGGGTCTTTAGTATTCAAATAGAAATGAGTCTATAGCACATCAACCATGCACATAGGTGGGAACCCACGCATGATATCCTGCTGGAATGAGGAATGTGGCACAAACACAGAGAGAACTAGGACGTTATTAGCCCTTATGTTACCATGGATGTTGATGCTGCTGGAGCTCTTGTGATGCCCACTCCAGTGACACATTCACACTTACTTACCATGCACACTCTTCTGTACGATGAGGGGAGAGATAGAGAAGCAAGAAGAGTGCACTGACAGAACTGGGGTCTGAACCAGTGTGATAGTCCTGCCCAGTTCACATCACCCATCTTTCGGGGTACTTCATGAGGTAGGTCAGCAGGCTGCATTAATTTGGAGACTATCAGTCCTAATGTACCCCTTTACTACCTGATACCACACCTTGCTGCAATACATAGTTCCCAGGAACAACTGCCAGCTTTTTATCTGTTTGGCTGCCACACTTCAAACACAGCAGAGCTGTGCCAATTGAAATTAATTCTCTTTCTAGTGTGATAACGTTAAGGCTACATGTAATCAACTTAAATTCCTCCAACAGAAACTGCACACCTTCTCCAAAACCAATACCCAAGACCAAGGTCAGCATTTTTGCGTGTTTTTACAGCTGTTAAGTGCCATCAGGAATGTTATATAAATAAATCACACTATGCTATGTTACACACTAAGGTGTGTAACACTGCAGGGCAATTTGCTGCAGGTGAGAGGTGCTCATTAAATGCAATTAATAAGCACTATCTGTGCACTGAAAGGCACAGGAGCTAATTACTAAAAGACACAGTGTACAAGTAATGCTTACAGTTATGAAACAGGCACTTCCACACGAAATTTCAAGGAGACGTAGGAATGACATAAATCAGAATGATCCAAGCCAAGTGATAGTTACAGATGCAGCACTCACAAAATGAATGAACCCCACCACTGTCCTCACTGTGGTTATCAGGACAGGAAACACCCCTCTATCAGCCAGACTTTATGAAGCACCCTAGGACTGGGCCAGCAGCTTCTTTTAAATAGCAATTACCTTGGCATCATGCAGTAGCCCCGTGTGCTGGAGCTCACAGGTACGGGGCTTGCAGCGGCGCACTCGCCTGCTCTGCACCGGGCTGCCAGGTTACGCAGGTCAGCCTCCCTCACAGTTTACATTGTAATACGTCTTCTTTCAGTCCTCCAGAATTTTTAGAATCCAGCAAGGAAACAGCAATTTTGGGAAAAGCTCGGGCCATACCAGGCTCCAAAATCCACACGGAGAGTGGAAGAAGGTGAAATTTTACATAGAAACTCCTGTCATCCCTTCAGCTTACTAGAGTAATATTTGTTAAATGCTAACAGAACAAACCACATTTTTTCACATCAAGTGAAAATAGCAACGGAAAGTGTTTATCGGTCTCACATAATGACAGAGCCATGGTATTTAAAAGTATGGATTCAAGAGAAATAAACTCTCCTTGTTTATCATCAATGACTGCAATTATGTTGTCAAGTGATAGACGAGTGTTTTGATTTCCTCTTCCTGCTGTCTTTTTACCTTCAACTTCTATTGTAAACTTGCCACTGTTTATTCATGTACTATTACAGAACCACTGAGAGGGGGTATTAATCAAGAGTATTTATTTTTCAAAGCAGTCATGCCATGAAGCCATAGATACAGCTAAAGCTTAACCCTACATCCTCCTCCAAAGCAGCATGTTAGTGATGTTAAAAACACTCCGCTAGCCCAAACAAACAGAACAGCCTAAGGAGGGGGTAACATGCTCCTGGACATGCAAACCCCGGCTCAGCGCATTGCCCACAACCCTTACGTTCACAAATGCCTGCAGAAAACTGACCAAATATGAAGGAACTGCTTGGTATCCACATTTTGCCTCATTGTTACCGGCAGCTCCAGGCACTGGTGTATGTGTTTTGCCAGAAAACACAAGAAAAGAAAAGCTGCATGACAGGTTTCCTGCTAAGATGGTGATAAAGTAGAGGACACAGTAAACCTACTTGCACTGATGATTTTAAAAGCATTCATGCTTTTTGCTGGACCCTCTTATGATTTTCAAGCATCGCAAAGCAAAACTGTACGTGCAAGGGAAAGCACAGGCCCTTTACCAGCCCAAGGACACAGAAGGGGCCGAGGAGAGCGTGCATGACTTCCAAGCGTTATACTCCCAGAGGAGATCAAGACTTTGTTCTTTCTCTGTGCTGGAACAGGTGCGCAATTCATGGCAGATCCCAGCTGCTTCACAAGTTATGGCAGTGGAAGCAGAGCTTGCCAACAATTACCTCCTCAGACAGCAAACCAGACTGCAATATTGGGTAGGATGTTGTCCTACGGGATTCAGAAACAGGAATTGAAGTAGGTTGTCGATCTTCCCCTCAAGCTGAAATCTCAATTGATAAGAGTTAATCTTAATTTACTTTTCTAAACCTGTGGCTCCCTTTGAACTCACATTTGATTCTTGGTACTTCCCAAGGCATACGCTGAAAGCAAACCCAAACTAGAACAATTTACAGGAGAGGATCCCACAGCCCTGGAAGTTCTGGCTGAGAAACCAAGTAGGAGAAAGCATCTCTCTGTGTGGTCATCTCAGTGATAGTCCAGGATTGTTATTGATTAAGTAAAAAAAATATAAATAACAACAAGGCTCCTCACGGAAAGCATATGTGTGCCAGAATTATCCCATAAACCAGAGCAGAACATCAGGCTACACATCTGGACACACCCTGATTTACATGTGTTCAATAGCAAGTAAACTTGAAATGCTGTAACTTTTAAAATCTGGTTTGTAACCAGGAGATTGAACACCAAATGCCTCCCCAGGAAACGGCAACTATCTGGAACAGGTGACAGGTTGCACTCATTACTAGTATCATGGCCAGAACATGACACCCCACTGGGTATTTGCTGCCTGCATGGGCTTTTTGCATCACATCTGCTGTGTGCCTGATGTCTGCACTTGCAGAGCCCGTGTTAATAAAGAGAAGGGAAAGCATGAAGGCGGTGCTGTTATGCAGCATTCTGATGCACTCATTTGAATGGCATTTTTCATTCGATGGAATCCAGCTAAGAGGATACCCAACAATGTATATACTTACCAGTTCACATTTCCATCTCTAATGATCCCTCCCAGTCTACTACAGGCCAGTAGCTATATACAGCCTCTTTAAGATGGCATGTGGTTTCTTCAAGCTATTACAAAAAAATTCAAAACATCTTCAGTAACTGAGAGACACCATAATGACAAGGACATGACCTTTTAAATTGGATAGTATTAGTAAGGTCTTTCAAAATCTCATATTTACTTTAGATATTTGATGTCTTGTGATGAAGCTGCAAAGACGAGTAGATAGCACCACCACTGTATTAACGGTAGCTTAGTATATGCAAATGCTTGAACTACAGCAGGGCTTGTAAGCAAGCAGTCAGATGGCACACAGAGTTATCCAGGTACTTGCTTCTGTACATCAGAAGATTTACAGTGTTCAAAAGATCAGACTTATAAATAGTAAATCACGTAAGATGGAAAATAAAGGGAGCGTATTGATTCCAGCTATTATTGAAAGGTGGGGTAAAAGAAAAATGAGCATTATCATAAAGGCCTTCACATTTGGCCTGTTTTCTTTGTAATAGCTCTTCTGTAACAGCATAAGAATCCAATACAGAGACAACTGCAGATGTGGAGATATTTCTCCAGAGAGCATGCAAGGGATCCGCTATGAAGTTCACAACAAGCTGTCAGCGAAGGCAACAAACAGGCGCCCACTGCAGTCTTTATGCTGCTTTGTTACTGAACATACCCCATCTGAACACCCCCTCACCATACACACTGCCAGAACTCTGAAGAGACAGGCAGTGGTTGGCATCATCTTTCCTCTAGAAAATTGGTTGGGTACCTGCTACGTTAAACTCAATATTAAAGTGAAAGGAGAGAAAGAGCTCTGGTGAAAAGAAGGAAACAAAACAAGCTCATGTTGCTACAGAGCAATGCATTTTCTTGTTTTATTTTGGATTATTCTTCACGGATCCCCCCAGATGCCAAGGCAGATTTGGAAGGTTTTTTCGATCGATCAGAGTTGGCCAGAATACTTTCCACAAAAGAGAAAGAGAGTTTGGTAGCATTCAGGAAATTAAATGGAACCACCTTCAAAACAACAGTTTTTCAGAAACGGTTAAGTTTTCACAGCCTGAGACAGAGGGCAAAAGGTCACTGAAGACAAACTCTTTCGTGTGCTTTATAACCTGCCCCTCAGACTCACCTGCTGCTTTAAATACAGGTTTGAAATTTACAGTGGTAAATCTTATTACCTGACCAAAATGGCAATATCTGAAGTGTTCAAGTCAGTTGGTCAGACCACAAACCATAGGTTTACTTTAATACAGCACTGCAAAGTTCACGAAAATAACAAAACTGTGTTTTCAAAGACGTGAAGAACATTATGCATATGTGACAGATGGATCTGTGAACTGGAAAATCTCCTTATCATACAGGTCTTCTGGTAGTTTTTCATCTCCATCAGCAAAAAACGTAGGGAACGGAGGGTTTTTATTGCAGTCCTTGTAAGTAGGCAATTTGCTATCTCTGACCTAAAAAGCAGGAGGGGGAAGGATGGGGTTAATAAATCTTACAGAAGACTTTCAGACAGCGATACACTAGAAATTAAAGAAATCATCTTGCATGCATAAGAAAAAAACCCAACAGCATTCACATTACAATTGTTTTACCTGAAGAATTCCAAGTATAATCATCAGTTATTTTAATATCAACCTGAGCTATTTGAATTTAACACTTTTCTACCTATCATTAACGAGTTTCTAAAACCAGCAAAACCCAAAGATAATTTATCACTTGTGTGATAAATTTATCACTACTGTGAGAGAATCAAAACCTACTCCATGAATTCATTGCTCAATGTTTTAAAATGCTATTAAAATAATGTGTGTAAGTATGGCTTGTTTAAACTGTGTTTATAATCCCACAGTACTTTCCTACATGACGTTCCAAGTTATATTATGCAGTGTAATCACCTCTTCAACAACCAAGACATGCTTTTGTATTTACAATGCAAACTAATTATGGCAACTAATTTTGCAAAGATATGTGCATTGGCTGTATTCAGTCCCTCTGGCTACTGCAGAGCTATTTAGTGACTGCAGAGTTAAGCATCTAAAATTCTTCACCCAGGAATCACTACTCAAGTTTGTCGAACACGAGCCTTTAAGAAAGTTAATTTCCAAGAACTGTAGTGCCACAGAGAAATTACTTTCCTTTGCTGACCTCTCTACAAGTGGAAAGATTTAAAATCTAGCCTCTGAAACTCCAATCTCTGAAGAAAATTAGTAGCTAGAATTATCAGCAAAAAGCAGTTTGTCTGCGGTGAAGATAGGAAGCTGGTATCTCTGAAGAAAAAAAGAGCTACAAATTCTCCAGCGATGAAATTTTATTTAAAGTTAAATTCTTCATTTCTATCTTGTTACATATGATCTTCCTCCTGAGCTGTAATAATCCCTTTCAGCCACTATACTCAACTGGATTAAAAAAAAAAAGTACCAATAGATCAGACAAAATTTTAGTATAGAGAAGATAAGCTCTTCCTCTTATTTTTTTGGTGGATTTTTAAAGAACAGGAAGCTTGTTCTTACTTGGTTGGACATAAAACTCACATAGGACAATTGCGATTTACACCAGAAATTAAATAAAACAATTTTATGTCCACTGAAATGTCTGTTCTGGCAGCACTGTATTTACCAGATTCATATCTGCTATTACTTGAGCCTTTCCCAAATTCCAAGAGGATTCCTCCAGATGAAATGCACAATAAATTTGACTTAAACTTCAGCTTCTGAAAAAACTGTTTCGTTATTTTTCCCCCTGAGGAAGTTCCAACAGTTTTCTAAGTGCAGACTTGATAAAGAAAGAAAACCTTTTGCTAAGAATGCGGGGGTGAAGGGCTCAACTGCTTAGGATGGCTACTTAGCTTTTCAAGTAGATCATTCCTCTTCTGCCAGACACCTCCCTATGAAAAGTGTTCTCTATTCACTCGTAAACTGCCATGCGAAACTACTGAAGTCCCTGTAGTCCTGGTAGACAGCAATTTACGTTAAGTGTCTACGTGGAATAAACTAGGCTGAGGTCCAAGTCCAAAGACCTTTGCTGCAACAGTTCCAGCAGCAGAGTTCAGAGGAAACAGATAGCTTCAACAGTGCCATCTGAACTGCTGAGGCTCGTAAGTCATCCTTCCAGCTTTCAACACGTTGCTGCTGTTTCTTTTACTATGTGAAAACATGTTTTAATAACTTCAGTTGGCTATTATTCCCCTTGCCCCTTTCTCTTTTATTCCCTAATCCTATTACACATCATAAGCCTTCTATGTCAACAGCAAAAATCCCCGTGGTCTCTACACGAGCTACAACAATATTAGGAAGATTAGAATAAATTATTTTATTTCTGATAACTTATTCATTGCACATATATCTTATTAAAATGTTTTTCATGTTTACTTTTTTGATATTTTTGATTCTTCCCATCATGAAATAATATGCACTGTTACATACAGGCTGTGTCATTACAGGCAGTTTTGGACACCTGAAAATGAAAGGAATTCAGGTGTTTTCATCTCCCCCCCGCCCCCCCTTTCTTAAAACAACAATTTATCACAGGACTTATGAGTAAGACATCTGCTCTTAACTGAAGGCAAACCCAACAGTCTAATCTTAGTCCTGCATTAGTTTATGTAAATAAATGTAAGATTTCAGTTCAGCCTTAACATTGTATTTTACGTATTAATGTCAAGTGGTATTTTGCAGATAGTGCCTCTTGTGTGATAAGGAGAATTTTTAAAGACGTTTTAAGATTCTTATGAAACATTTTCAACAGACCATTGTTGCTTTCAGAGGAGTCCAATACTGCTTCATTTTGCCCCTTCCTACTGCTCAGAAGCTTGGCAGATCCCAGAAACACAAGCCACATCTAATGTTAAAATTATCTTCTTCTGATATGCTCTTTCTTTTGATCAGTATAATTGACATGGTATTTCTTTTGACTGGTGAAAAATACTGCTCTTTTTCCATCTTCTTCTACATTTGTTGCTTTCAAATGCAATTTGTTTTACTCCTAAAGCACCATCTTAGAGTATCAGGGCCAAAATGAATGAACATGCCTCTTTCTCCCTTCTAAGCTTCAAAAGTTGTTAGACAGATATTATTATTCCTATCAAGAGGAAGAACTCAGTTTCATTTCACATCTGAAAGTACCGATTAGCAACTTAAAACATGGTATGATTTATCTGTCTTCTCAAGAGAATTACTGAATGACTCCCTTTACATTTATGAAGGGCACAGCATACCAAAGGTTTCCTGTATGTATTACCTCAGATTCCTGCACAATAATTTCACAATATTATAAAGGGGTTAAATGGTATGCAGGATCAGTTACACTTGCCTGTATAAGCCTGTACAAAGGCAAGCAGTACATGTGACCCAGCACAGCTCTTCCTGTTCTCCCAGTAACCTTCTGAGAGCATCCCTAATAAAGGAGTAAATTTTAATGCTCTGTGTTACTAAAATCCAGTGACTTTAGCTCTTGCCCACAGAAGGAATCAGGCTGAGAGCCCAACTGGTTATTACAATCCATAAAAGCATTCACTGTATAACTCAATATTACACAGACGTCTGCTGGAAATACAACATGGCAGAGAGCAAGCAGTCTAGGAGGTTCCTGGAGTGTGTGGAAGATAACTTCCTGACACAGCTGGTAGGTGAGCCAACCAGGGGAGGAGCCTTGCTAGACCTACTGTTTACAAACAGGGAAGGACTGGTGGGAGGTGTGATGGTCGGAGGCTGTCCTGGGCTTAGCGACCGTGAAATGATAGAATTCTCAACTCTTGGTGAGGCAAGAAAGGGGGTTAGCAAAACCACTGCTGTGGACTTCTGGAGGGCAAACTTTGGCCTCTTCGAGGCACCGGTTGAGAGGGTCCCTTGGGAGACGGTCCTGAAGGGCAAAGGGGTCCAGGAAGGCTGGACATTCTTCAGGAAGGAAATCTTAATGGCTCAGGACCAGGCTATTCCCATGTGCTGCAAGATGAACCGCCAAGGAAGACAACTGGCCTAGCTGAACAGGGAGCTTCTGCTAGGACTCAAGAAAAAAAGGAGAGTTTACCATCTTTGGAAGAAAGCGCAGGCAACTCAAGAACAGTCCAGGGATCTTGTTAGGTCATGCAGAGAGGAAATTAGAAAGGCAAAAGCTCAGCTAGAAATCAATCTGGCCACCATTGTAAGAGACAACAAAAAATGTTTTTACAAATATGTTAACAGTAAAAAGAAAGCCAAGGAGAATATCTATCCTTTATTAGATACAGAGGGGAACACTGCCACCAGAAATGAGGAAAAGGCCGAGATACTTAATGCCTTCTTTGCCTCAGTCTTTAATAGTGAGACCAGTTATCCTCAGGGTACTCTGCCCCTGAGCCGGCAGGCAAGGACAGAGAGCAGAATATACCCCCCATAATCCAGGAGGAAATAGTTAGTGACCTACTATGTCAACAACCTACTATGCCATCTGGACACTCACAAATCTATGGAATCAGTCAGGATCCATCCAAGAGTACTGAGGGAGCTGGTGGAGGAGCTTGCCAAGCCACTCTCCATCATCTATCAGCAATCCTGGTCAACGGGGGAGGTCCCAGAGGACTGGAGGCTTGCCAATGTGACGCCCATTTACAAAAAGGGTCGGAGGGAGGATCCGGGGAACTACGGGCCTGTCAGCCTGACATCAGTACCAGGGAAGGTTATGGAATGGTTTGTCTTGAGAGCGCTCACACGGCATGTACAGGACAAGCAGGGGATCAGGCCCAGCCAGCATGGGTTCATGAAAGGCAGGTCCTGCTTGACCAACCTGATCTTCTTCTATGACCAGGTGACCCGCCTAGTGGATGAGGGAAAGGCTGTGGATGTTATCTACCTCGACTTCAGCAAGGCCTTTGACACTGTCTCTCATGCCATACTCCTTGAGAAGCTGGTGTCTCATGCCTTGGACAAGTGTACTCTTTGCTGGGTGAAAAACTGGCTGGATGGACAAGCCCAGAGGGTTGTGGTGAATGGGGTGAAATCCAGTTGGTGGCGGGTCACAAGTGGTGTTCCCCAGGGCTCAGTGTTGGGGCTGGTTGTGTTTAATATCTTTATTAATGATCTGGATGAAGGGATTGAGTGCACCCTCAGTACGTTTGTGGATGACACCAAGCTGGGCAGGAGTGTTGACCTCCTGGAGGGTAGGAAGGCTCTACAGAGGGATCTGGACAGGCTGGATCAATGGGCAGAGGCCAGTTGTATGAAGTTCAACAAGGCCAAGTGCCAGGTCCTGCACTTGGGTCACAACAACCCCATGCAATGCTACAGGCTTGGGGAAGAGTGGCTGGAAAGCTGCCTGGTGGGAAAGGACCTGGGGGTGCTGGTTGACAGCCGGCTGAATATGAGCCAGCAGTGTGCCCAGGTGGCCAAGAAGGCCAATGGCATCCTGGCCTGCATCAGAAATAGTGTGGCCAGCAGGAGCAGGGAGGTGATTGTTCCCCTGTACTCGGCACTCGTGAGGCCGCACCCCGAGTGCTGTGTTCAGTTTTGGGCCTCTCACTACAGGAAAGACATTGAGGTGCTGGAGCGTGTCCAGAGAAGGGCAACCAAGTTGGTGAGGGGCCTGGAGCACAAGTCTTATGAGGAGCAGCTGAGAGAGCTGGGGCTGTTTAGTCTGGAGAAGAGGAGGCTGAGGGGAGACCTTATCGCTCTCTACAACTACCTGAAAGGGGGGTTGTAGTGGGGTGCGTGCTGGTCTCTTCTGTCAGGTGGCTGGAGATAGGACAAGAGGAAATGGCCTCAAGTTGCGGCAGGGGAGGTTTAGATTGGATATTAGGAAAAATTTCTTCACTGAAAGGGTTGTCACACATTGGAACAGGCTGCCCAGGGAAGTGGTCGAGTCACCATCCCTGGAGGTATTCAAAAAGTGTGTAGACAAGGCACTTCAGGACATGGTTTAGTGGGCATGGTTGATGGTTGGACTTGATCTTAAAGGTCTTTTCCAACCTAAATGATTCTATGATTCTATAGTCACTTGATTTGTTCAACCTCTGTATTAATATTACTATATATTGTAGTACACTATACTACAGATAGATGGTATACATAGTAGTGTCTATACACAACAGTATATTCTCTGTGAAGTTTGTTATTAAGAAAAATACTAGAAGTAGCTGAAACTGGAGCTGGTTGAGATTGTCACTAAATCTTTAAAACAGTCATAAGGGGTTTTGCAGACAATTCATAAACTGCACATATGTATGTCCCATATATTGACAGCGTAACAGGTAGTACAAACAAATACAAATTCAGAAATCTATCACCACAAAATACTTCACATGGTCTTAAACAGGCATTAAAGCTTGATGCTTAAGTCACAACTCACATTTGTAGTTTAACAGGGCTTCAGGCTGTGTTAGCAACCACAGCAAAGAATGCAAGTTGTTTGCAAAACAGGAAAATGTGTTTAAATATATAGAATGTTAGAAAGAATCTCCTCAGGTGTCATATATTACCTAGCTTAGCTTCTCTATTTCTGAAGCTAGACAGAAAATTGAATTCAAGAACTATATCCATTTCTGACCACCCTTATTTTGTCTTAAAAAACCAACCAAAAAAAAAAAAGCTCTACACAACTCTATCATGGGGCCCAAGGTACAGGACAGGGAACACAAAAGAATTGAAGGTTTCACACTATTCCTGCATGCCCTCAATTTGAGCACAGCACACCCAACTCAGGCATCAGCAGCTAGAAACACAGACAGTAACATTGGCAAGTGTGATACAAAACAAGTAGGATGCAGACAACTACAGACTTCTCTAAAAAGAAAAAAAAAGAAAGAAAATAAAAGGAAAAATGGGGGGCAAAAAGGGAAAGAAGCAGTAGGGGAATACTGAAAAGTTAAGTTTATTAGCTCAAGCAGAATACTACACTAAAGCAACGGTATACTTAGGTTTAACTCAATTCTAGCATACAAAAAGGCCAGTTCAGTATCTAACTTGCTAAGCAACTCCTGTGGGTTACATGATTTGCCAGAATTTCTGCTTTCACTACAAGTGATATATTCAAAGTGATCAACACTGAATGTCCTAAGAAAATCAAGTGCCTTAAAATTAGGACAAGTATAAAACATTATCAAAGATAAACTATAACATCCTGAATTATAATATACCATATTACAGTATCCCCTCCATTATGAAGCATCAGGAATTAGTCTTGTGCTTCTCTCTTGAATGACAGAAGAGGTAACTTTTTGTTAATATACTTGGGAGAGAAACTGAGAGCCATAAGCTTCCAAAAGAGAAAACTATTTTTTTTTTTTTTTCTAGAGGATCAACACCACAGACAGTAACTACAGGCCCTGTGATCTAAGACAATACACCAAGAGAAACAGGTAGTGCCTGAGGCAGGCTATCTTGATAGGCACAACACACTAAATTACAAATGCTTATTCTGCAATGTTACTCTTGTAACAAAAAAATTCCATACATTCTAGCACACTGCTTAAGTTTATTAAGTTTATTAGACCTTGTCATTGAGAAAGAAATCCAAGCTAAAGTAAGCTTTTTTGATTAGTTTTCTAGCTGGCTATGAACATTACTTATGTCAGTTATTTACCTGCATGCTTCAGCGTGCAATATCAAATGAAAACTGATTTCTAATTAAACCAGGAATCCATTGATCGTAGTATTCTGCACTTTTACTCTGCTGAAAATGAAACTTAAATTTTTCAAGTGCTTTATCTCTGTCTGGATAAAGTGGTGATGCACTAAGTTTCCAAAAATACATAACATCAAAATAAATATATGCTTTAAGGTGCACTGTGGTTTTAATGGTTACCAAGCAACACAGAGTGAGTACTGAGCACAAATGCCTTCCTCTTAGAGACACACTAAGAGAAAAGTATTATGCAATATTTCACTTTTTGAGCTCAAAGACAGATGTATCCAAATCCCCTAGACATTAGTCTTACCTAATTATAGGCAGGTGTTTAGTGGAACAAACAGTAATTATGAATTGTAATATCCCATAATTTCTCTCCCCAACTACAGATCCAAACAAATATACAACAATTACAGAAAGTCAAAGTCTACAGGCAAACAAGAAAACACCCTGGAAGAAAAGTGTAAGACACAAGCTAAAAACACCACAGATGAGTGCAGCAAGATTAAATGGAGAAAGAAAAAACCAGAAATTAAAGAACACATGCCAAATAGTATTGCTTTGCATGCTTATTTAATTAAAGCTTGCTCTGTCCTTCAGAGATTTATTTGAAAATATAAGGGAAAAAATTTAATTAATACATGTAATTCATATGGCCTATGAAAGAAAAAACCCCCAGAATGGATTCACCAGCTTGAGGAAATGGAATAAACTGTTGCCGACTACATACTCCCTTCAATCACCAAATAGGTGAGTGGAGGCAATTTTTAAAAAATCTGTTTCTTAATAGTAATAATACCTACTACTGTGCCTTCATCTCAAACAGTGTTATTTATTACTAAGAAGCCATGAAAGTTTGAGTCTGGAGCACTTTGGTCAAGATCTTTCAAATACTGTATTACGTAAATCGAACAGCTCTAAGGGACAAAATCCCTCATTCTTCCCATGAATCCTCAACCCTCACTAATGGAATTGGCTGCAGCTCTCAAATGTGTATGCCAAAATGCATACTTGAAGATACTTGGACTTCTAATTGTATAGAACTATGACTTGAAAGATGTTCAAATATACGTAACTTACAAATACAGTTAATACAGATTCTGTATCTTGTAGAAATCATGTACAAGGATTAGTAAAGCAGTCACAAAAGTGCCTTGTGCCACTCAGTTAATACTGACAGATTAAGTTTCCTTGGAAAAAAACAGATGGAGTCATTTTAACTTTTGGTCTTAGGATAAAGTTCCAATCATCATCCATGGCAAGTGAACTGAACAGAAATCACTCCTGGACATGGCAAGCACTTAAATGATATGCAACAGACTGCCGTGGCAATCAAAGTCCATTATCCTCTTCGTATCACAGATGTCAACGCTGTTGTTTTACTGCATATGCTCAGATGGCTTGGCCCAGCAGTCTCCTGTTAACAAGGCTGTTGACAATGGCAGTACTGCTGCCTCAAGGATTTTTTTAAGATAACAGCAGGACTGCTTTCCGAACTCACACAGTAACATTACTGTGAACGCCAGCTGTCTTCTCCTGTACCTCAACTGCTCCTTGGAAAGGTAACTGCTACGGTGTATGGGAATGCTTTGAATAACCTTTAAAGTAGTGCTTGCTGTGTATTTCTGTTCATGAATACAGCCCTTAAATAATATTCTGGAAGCCTCGCCACCATCCTGTTGACTCAGGTTAGTGTGGGGATGGACCTAGCCCTGAGACACTTACCACAGGGTTACAGTGACTGTGTTGGTTTATCATACGCTACGTGTGTTCACAATGCCAGTGCAAAGCTAAGAATGAGCCATTTAGAGTAAGTGGTGACCCACTGCCCCTATTAATAACTCTCTTTTAAAGAACTGATCCTACGGCCCTTTAATTCAATAATACAGGATGGGACTCTAAAGAAATTAAGACTGCATTCAACCAATGTTTTTCCTTTTGTAGGAAGAGAGTTGTAGAGATCTTAGGAAACTAGCAAACATACCTTCACCAGACAATTTGTGTGACCTGGAACAGACCCATTTACATAAATAATGTCATGTTTTGTGTTGATCCTCCACACCTAGGAGACAGAAAAAAAACAGACATGGAGCTTGTTTTAGAGACTATTCCCAGTTTTACAAACTGTCCAGCGAAGCACAAACTGATTAACTGGAGGTGGTACTCTGGGGAAGAAGAATGTTCTGCACAGGCCTAAACTTGCCATAAAATTCAGTCACTTGCTACTCTGCGTGCACAGCTTTCTAATGCAGGAGTCTATTAAACAGTTTTAAAGCGCTTGTGATCAAGCCATATTTGGTAAGGCAGCTTGTTGTTCAGCATAACACCAGCCGAAGCTCCCAAGTCTCTTTTCCCTCTAACATCAATGTGTGAAAAACATCACAGGTGACAAATTAAAACAAATATGCTCATGAAAACAATGCCGCGACCGTTTGTTAATTTCTTAATTCTATGAGATGCTCAACTGAACACGCACATTTTCTGTTACAAAAAAATAGTTTTAGTTAGCAGAGAACAGCAGCAGCACCCTTTTTTTTGCAAACTAGAGGCTAATATGCTTTTTTGTGTAAACTGCAGAGGTTGCCTTCAGAAACAGAGAACCGTAGCTGTAATAGCCCAAGAACTGCTAGATCCAGACGGAAACTATAATCCCCTTTTTTGCACATGAAAGTGAAGGACCATGACAAAGTTAGGACTTCAAACAACTCAGACTTGGGTTGGGTTTGAACAAGTGGAATAGGCATGAAAACAGTAACTGAAGGTTACCAAAAGCCTGATTGTTCTCCCACTTCAAAGTCAGAAACCAAGGGACACAGAGAAAAACACATCAGATGTGGAAGTATCACCTGAAATGCTGGTTCCCAGGGTACGCATATGCAAAGGGAGTTCAGATAACTTATTTGTAACCCATAAAAAGCCAGAAGCACACATTTGATACTCCTGTCTTTCTAGCTTGCTTACTTCAAGATGCTCCTGTCAGGATTTTGACAGAAATAACAAGACAGTACACCAACACAAGGTTACATGGCTAAGTCCATTGCGTGGCAATGCAACCACTTTATACACATTCTAGTATACTCAGAACCCACCTTTAATCCAAAAGATGTCCTATAGATGTTACCCATTTTACCAGGCATTTTCTTTCCACGATAAACTTTGGCAGCTTTCTAGATAAAAACAGGGCCAAAAAAATAATGTAACTGCAAGAGGTACACTTACAAACTCAAGAGGAACATGAAAGAAAATATGCTGGTATTTCCAATGCTGAAAATATCTAATACTGGAAATATCTAGTATCGAGTAGCATTTTAAATACCTCCTGCTGGAGGTTAGGTATTACTATACATGTTACCTGAAATACTTGACCTCAATCATAAAATTGCTATAAATACTGTTCTAGGCTTGCTTAATACTTAACGTGTATAGATTCAGAGCAAAATGTGCACTCATCCCATACTTTCACTTCATGAAAATCAAGAAAAGTTTTTTTGTTCCTAAAACCCCTGTCACCACAAGACTCTCAACTACATCACAGACCATAGCAACTGGAAACTTGCCTAAACTACTTGTGGATGCTACCACAGAGCTCCAGAGAAGTCCTGCCCTGGAAGGCTACCAAAATGAAGATATGCCGTAGCTTCTCCCCTCTCCCTAATCCATAAGTTTTATACTGATGTAAAACGGATTTTTTAAAGCATGTATTTTTGAGAATGGACTTTTAAATTATATTCCCTGCTATTGCTTAGTTTCCATATCCCATTTTTGTTTGGCTGTGTAAAACCTGAAGAACAAAAGTGGAAAAGAAAATGCAGGACTAAGTGCAGTAATTTTTAGTTCTACAGTATTATCAAGGACTTTGTCTCAGTTTCCTGCATCACTCAGTTATTCATTAATAAAGTTTAATTTTTTTTTTAACTTGTGTGAAAATCATGATTTCAGAAAATCAGCTGCAAAGAAGTTCTAGGGACAGAATTCTGTACTTGAGCACTGCGGGATTACAAAAATAGCCGAGGTGGTCAACACTAGACTGGGAAATAAAAATCAAGGCATTGTTTTTCCCCTATTGCATCCTTTCACCTTGTTTCCTTTTCATCATACCTATTACCAATGCTATTTCTCATTCTATGTACTTTGTGGAATTACATCCAGCATTACTGCTTAGGAAATTCTAATTTAAAGAAAAGTAAAGAGGGGTCATTTTGTAATGATGAATACTATCTGCTAAAACAAAGTGTTGTGCGTTCAAATATTTACGTTCTTCAGTCTTCAGAGAGAACAGTGCCAGGTGCTCTCTTGAGTTCAGTACTGTGACTCAGTTGGTCTTAATTCTGTATAATGAAGCTAGTTTGCAAAAATCCCTCTTAGTTCAGCCTAAATATTGTGCAACCTTTATAGAGACAAATCTGTTCCAAAGAGCTTTTAAGCTAATAATGTTTATAGTTTGAAACTTAAAAATATTACTCTGTACTCTGCTTAAAAATGCTTAGAAGCCAACAAACTATTCTGGGAATCAAAGAGTTCATTAAGCAGCTACACAAGCCAGGCGAGGTGATAAAAGCAACTAAGGTTCCAAAGAATAGTACAGTATCTTCAGTATAAAATAATGGGTAAATCCTTTCCAATCTATAAATGTTGTGATAAAAGATTCTTAGAACTCTCTCTGAAGCATTAGGACTATTTCTCTCAGCTATACTACAAAATACCACAATTTGCTCAGTTAAAATATGTTTGCTGACTTACCAGCAATATAGAATATTCATAAATTGAGGCATAACAGAACAGCTATCTGCATTGCTCGTAATACAGGTTTCTGAACTTCCTTTGAAACAACTGGGATTCTCTGCTACCACGGAGTAGAAGGTAACAGCTAGCTATTCTGAAATTGTTCATTTTTAGTAAGCAGTTCCAAAAATACTGAAGAATGTTTAAACAGGAAATAAGAATCCTCACATTGGTAGATATTGCTCCAGGACGTCTGTGAGTTTTCGTCTGGCCGTGGCTCGCAGGCTGACCTTTAAATCCCCACCTCTTCATTACACCTTGAAATCCTTTACCAATTCTGAAAAGAAAAATAATTAAGAAACAAACCTGGGTTTTTGCTAGACTTAAGGTTTCTAGCAATAACCAATAATTTTAGTTAGGCTCATGATCTTTTTACCTTTAGCAAAGCTCAGCCAGGAGAAGAATATATATATTTTTATAAAATTCTGTATTTTATACTACAAACATTCTAGTGCAATACTTAAAGGTTGCTTCACAGAATAAGAAGCACTAGGAGAGAGTCAAATAGGTAAAAAGACTAACATAAAATGCTCCTTGCTGTGATGGTCCTCAATACATGGTACTGTAATGAACCTTTTACCAAGTGGACACCAGAACAAACAAAGAAACCAAGCCAAAAAAACCCCAAATAAAAAGCAACTGTATAATAACACATACCAAAACTTAGTGACAAGCCCAAAGCATCAAGAAAGGAAAGAGATGGCTGCTTAGACTAGCATAAACTGAGGAACATTTCTTTTCCAAAGTACAATAGACTCATCACTTGAAAACAGTTTTATGTGTAAACACTTAACGCTTTTGACCTGTACTCATCTGACAAATAAGGTCTAAAACACAAGAACAAATAAAACATTTTCGGAGTCCATGCCTTAATCTTTGAGGCACATGGTAGAATTACTGGCTTTAGAGTTCTCTGTTTACTGCAGGGACAGACTCAATAGGAAAAGTTGCCTCACCACTGCACAAAAGAAAAGCCCATTAAAGTGTGTGTTTAAACTGGCATTGTTTGTTTCCAAAAGGAAAAGTCTGACCATGGCATTTATGGCTGCACTGATTATTGAAGTAATTTAACAAGATGATCCTTTTCCTCCAATATACAGAAATCCTTTCTCTGCTAATGCCCGTTGCAATGTCATGGTCCTATTAATTCAAGTATTAGAACCATCCAGCCAAACACAGGAAAATAAAACCAGCTATGAGCATGCATACAGCACACAGTATGTATGGACTACATTTTGCTGACTCCCCTGACCAGAAAAGCACTACCATTAAAAACTAGCAAAACCATACAAATGCGGAGAACACCAACATTCACAAAACCTGAATTCTTTCCTCTCCCACTTGAATAATCCTCCTCTGATTGCTGGCCTAGTTACCTAGAGCAAGCCAAACTACAGTCAAAACCAGCCACAAATGGAAAGATTCTCTAAAGCCACAGAACCGTAAGGAAACAAGACTTGTGCAACCACAGTGTCTCTCTCTTACTTTTCTCCTTCCCTGCTCAGAACCTCGTGGTCAAGTCCAGTTAAATTTGGCACACAAGAAAGATATGTAATTGTTTGAAATCAAAATTATCAGTTAGAAAGTCCTGATTTTTTTTTTTCTCATGACTAAGGAAATGCTGAAACACGATCAAAGCAGTGATCTCTTCCCTTGCACATGCCAGCCATGCACGTGGTTAGCGCCAGCAAGAGAGTCCTTCCAGGCCAGCAGACAGTGGTGCAACACAGGAGTGTGGAGAGGGCTACGAGACGGAGCTGAAGGCATCTGCTGGAGGGAGGACCAGGGTTACCCGGGATGGATGGGGAACGCAAGACAGAAATCTAAAGGAGGCAAGGCTTTGTTACACCAGTTTCTCATGAATCAGCTTATTTTAGAAGCTGGCAGTAATGAACAGCGATAGTTGTAAAAAAACAGTTTGAAAAATACTCATGCTTTAAGACAGGCTCAAAATTTTTCTTTTTCTATGTCTGCAGATTGCTAGGGGAATAATAACTTTGAAATACATAGCAGAAACTAAGCTATAGGAAAACTCGTATCTGTTCTGCCAAAATGCTATATTTTTCTTTGAAACTATCTATTATTGGCCATGTTTTCCAAGTAGACTACTTCTGGCATCTTTAGCTGGAAGATGGAATTAGCAAACTCTCCAAAACCAATGGCAAGTGGGTTGCATAACAACAGCTGTGCAGTTACCAGAATGAGCAGACTGGGGGCATGATTAATTCTTTAGCTGCAGAAATGGGCTTGCAATTCAGAGAAAACCATATAACCATCGAAAGCTACTATTTCAAAAGAAAGCAGTACTTTCAAGTTTAATCAAGAAGCACAAATCCCTGACATCATGAAACCACTTCAATATTTCATTCAGATTGTTCATTTTTAGACATGAACAATTTAGAATATTGTAAATTGTACTTTTAAATAAAATATAAAAATATAAGAAATAGTTAATACTTCTAAGAGATGCATTTTGAAAAAGATGTTTACTTCATCAAATGCTATAAGATATCCTCAAAAAGAAGCGATTATATCACAAGACAGAGTTGCTAGTGTTTAATGATTTATGCAATAGACTACGCTCATCTACTACTTGGTCATTCCAATTACACACTTATTTTCTGTGAACAAAGATTTAGACTTTACAATACTCAAAGCCTTAGGAAGTTTATAGAAAGTGTGGCCAGACTAAAAAAGAGCACTCTGGTAAACCTGAAAATTCTCATGCATCTGTTGATCTGAAATATGAAAACAAATCTCTAACATCTGAAATATGTGGGCTAAAGTCAAGGAAAGTTATCTCAATGCTGAAATTAGAGTATTTCATAATGTATAATGCTTTACTATCTACCAAGGTTCTTTCATCCTATTACTTCAATTATGTTTTAGAATAGTTTCATTTTTTATTTGTGGAAAACTGATTGAAGGTCTCTTAATTACTGACGAATACACTTTATCTTATGATTTTTTGAATGTTAATTTTCTATTCAACATGACACAGTCACTATCAGGACTGAAAATAAAAACAAGTTTTTATTAATTAAATAAGAAGCTATAGTTTTATTTCATTTTGGAGTTTCTGATTTTTTTAAAAGAATAAACAATGTATAAAGCTCTTTAAACACTTGTCAAGATGAAAAACAACTACACAGACAGTGTATATTTCCTCCTAGACTCATGCTCTATCTGAAATAAAGCTGGAACCAGAATAAAAACTACAGGATTATGTAAATCAAATGTAAAGTTTAAAATAAAGTAAGGAACTACTAATATCTGTTTAAATCAAATTTAGAAAGGAGGACTGTTCAACTCGGCACTTAGTAGCTCAACCAATATACCTCCATCATCCTAGAAGAACAGTGTTTTTCCAACCTAAGTCCACCTTGATGTGACGGTGATCTGTTCTCAGACAAGAGGTGGATTTCTCTACTATATGCAAAAAAAAAAATTATGAATAAATTTTCCATGACTCAAAATTTATCTGTATTTCTAAGGCAAAGATTTTACATTCTTCCAACTGTATGAAATGCAAAGTGCTTTTGAAAATAATATTCATTTTATATAAACAAGAGAACTTAAGATACATGCTGTTCAAGAAATACTATAGAAAATCAGAGAAGAATTTATACAGTTTACAGTTTTCTTAAACTTTTTTAATTCTGCCAAAAAATTAACAAATATATGTAAGAATATATTCTTGACTTCTGAACAGATGCCAGGTGTCAGCTATTAGTATCACTTACTAATTTCAAATTGCTTAATTGCCCTCTTCGCCCTTCTTAAAAATTAATAGGTGTGAATGCATTCAGCAAATGTCACCAATAAAATAAAAGAAAAATAATTACTGAAACTAAACCTAAAACAGTATTTTGCAAAAGTGAATGAAACAGAAAAATTGCCCAAAAGAATATTGGATCTTTTATTACTTAAAAAGTCTCATGAGTTCATTTCCAACAAATATTTCATAACATTAAATTAGTGTGTCCTAGCAAAATCAAAAGATTAAAACATAGAGTTATCACATATGCAATACATATGATTTTATGTCTACTATATATTTATATACTATTTTTAGTATACTATATACACTACTCTATGTAATTTCACATTAGCCAACATACGTATAAAAGATTCCAACCAAACATGCACCTCTTCTGAAGTTACTTTTCTTATGATGATCTGCATCACAATTTCATTTAAGAATGCATCAAAAGAATCCCTGATTTCCCCCCCAAAAGTCCTAACTACTGACATCCTACTACACTTTGTTCATTAAAATCTGTGAAATCTTTAAAAAAGAACACAATACAATTCTAATTTAGAACAAACTCAAACATGCGTAAGAAGAGGTATAACTCCAAAATCTTTTAGTAGGCATAGTACTGAAAACTTCAGATATTTTCAAAAAACATTAAGGTTTGTCAAAGTGGGATATTAATCCAGAACTATATATTAATTAAACAGAATTAACATCTAGATTCCACTCTGAAACAATCAAGTTGTGTGCAGTATCTAAGATATGATAATCAAGAACCTACACTGAAGTAGAACATTTGTCATCCTACTTACACTGTTGCCATTTCTTGCTAAGACATCTTCTACCTGTTGTCTTGGCTTGAATCAAGGACTATATGTTTTTGTTCTGACAACAGTAACATTAAACATCATATTCAAACAAAAAAACATGCATGAGACCTATCTTTATTAGAGTTGATATGTATAATGCCACTGTTCTTCAATACATGGAATTCAGTCACTTTACCTAGTTTCACTGAAGGGTGATTACCTGATTCCCAGAAAGGAATCACAGGCAGCAATGATGATATGCAAAACTAAGACACACAAATGTTAAATGAAAGGAAAATAATCTTTCTGTAGAATTAAACATAAAGTTTAATTACACACAGTTGTTCTAGTCTCACCTGCAGGAAAGCAGCTGTTCAGGTCAACCACCTAATTTTGTACAAAACCTCATTTTCCAGGTTTGATACAAGTAAAATGCCAGTACCTAATGAGCCAACTTTCATTTATAAAGCTACTGGAATAAATTAAGCAACGATTTAGTTTGCTGCTAACTCTTCAAAATTAGCTAATTTAAAAGACAATTATTTAGATGCTGTAGAGGAAAAGGATTCCAACTACTTAGTCAAGTAATTTCAGACAATTATAGAACATACTTTCAGGCTCAGATTACACTGTTAACCTAGCAAAGCTTAAATAAACCATAAACACATCAGAATCACCCCTTAATTCTGGCACATTTCAAACAAAACTACCGTTGTCTTTGGAGTGACAAAATTTCTGATGTTCCAAAGGTTTCCTGAAATGTTCACGAGACAGGTCGTGAAGTGGCAGAAAAAGGAGGTTCAATACAACTGCATCTCCATACAGCACTGGGCTACCACTGTAAGGCATGGTCTGACCTCTCCTCATCCCCATGTTTTGGTCATCTTTGTACTAGTGCAGAAGCTCACTCAGCTGATCAGCAAGATGGGGCATGCAACCAGTTGAACCTGCTGAAAACTAACCCAGTGAAGAATACAGGTATCTCACGCTGATCTTCTTCTTCATGCAACTCAGGATGCCAGTGCCAGTGATAGAAGGTCGATGGGAACTCTGCGGGAGTGAGCACCACCTCCCCTTTGGGCAGCAGCCTCTTCTACACCAGCTTAAAGAGGTGCGAGAGAAGCATTTCTGGACGGTGCTATGTATTTTAGCCCAGATCATATCAGGGCCAAACCAGATCATCAGGCCACAGGAATTCTGAAGTTTACTGCTGTCCCAAAAAGGGCACTAAGCCTTTACACATTTTTGAAACATACCTCTGAAGCACCGAGGAAAAGTCTTATCATTAAAGACTGCTGTAAAAATTAAGGATTGAGCTTTTAACCTGCTGAAAATAGGTACCAAGGAAAAAATTCAGCACTGAAGACGACCAACAGCCTGCAGATGCACTGCCTACTGTCAGTGCTCTAAAAGCTACTCATACTGTGCTGAACAAATTAGAAGACTTCAAATAGAAACAAACTGCATACATCTTTAACTGAACCTTCTCATTTCTCTGAAAGTGTTTTTCTTCACAGAGGTATAAATGCATCAAAACATTTCAAAAGACTTCAACAAAAACATTTGCAAGGAAAGTTTAAAAGCAGACAGTCATAAAAAACCACCCTACACTTTGGTAACCATATCAAGATGCTAACCAAGACTTCTTTAAATGTAGTGCAAGTACTTTGTTCAAGCTACGATAACTAAGAAAAGCTTGCTCATTTTTAAGGAACATATTTTTTTATTTAAGTCTTGACAGAAGGAAGCATACAAAAGGATATCTTGCTCAGCTCAATCATTAGGAGTGGGTAAAAAATTAAAATATCCTTTATATTCCACTATAGTATCTCCTCATTGAGGTGACATTAGTTTTCTTTCTTTCCTTTTAAAGGAATAATTAGAATTAATCATGGTATTAACAGCAGCACTGCTATTTTCATCTATATGATTTCAAACATTGCACACTTCAGTGTTTCCTCCAGTAAAACAAATTACTGACAATCTTACAAATGTAAAGCACATGTTCATGTAAAAATATTTCTAAAAACTTTACTAGAGATGATAGCAAATTTTTAGGAATTACTATCTTTTAAGTCCATAATGGTTTGAATCAGGAAGACAGAAGCTGCAGGAGGCAGGAGGGGAAGTCAAACTGTGCTCCCTACTGTAACCCAGCGTTATATCCTAAAGTGCCTTTTCAAAATGCCCCTCTAGCTTAGGATCTTTCAAGTGCCTACATCACTTCTGAAAATGGGACTCTGGAGAGTAATGTACAAAGGCTTATTTCAGCCTGTGGACCGAACCTCTTTGTTCAGTATGGAGAAGCTGGCAGCTCTTGAGGGGGGTTCAGAACACAAGTGTAACACGAAGTACGTCCTCATTTTTCCCTCACAGGTGCAGCCCAAATGCCATAGCTGAATGCTATAATCATTCCCAAGATAACTTTTTCTGCCCTTCACTGAAGCATTTCTTGGATATTTTTGGGACAGTGTGAAATCTGTACTTACAGGCACAATAACTTAGAATGATGGATACAGTATTCTGAAAAATAACGAAAAGCCAAACCACACCTAAGTATGAGACTAAGCAACACTGGATGAAACTGCACAGAATAAAGTAAAAAACCCAAAGAAAAACTGAAATGTAGTAAAATAATTTAATTCTTGCCCGAGTTAAGGGAAAACAATAAGTGCAGCATTCCAGAAAAGTGGAAATTAAGAAGGAAGAAACATTAAAAGTAGAAATCAGAATGTGAGTAAGTCACAGAAAAAGGTTAAAACCCCCCAGATACAGCAAGACTGGAATGATTAGAAAATAATATTAACAGAAAACCCATGATAAAAAAAAAATTAAAATCTGATCTTTCTCTTTAGCAGAACAATTTTTTCTTCACCTGTATAGTAGGATTACATGTAATATGCTGCCCAAATCAACAGTACAAACAAAAAGCTGATTTCTGAAATGGGAACATACAAATATCTGAAGAAAACAGATTAGAAATACTGAATTAAAAGATAGGATAGATTCACTGAACATGACCCAGTCTATTTTTAGCTCGCTACTATTTTCAAATACAAATAGCAGGATACAAATCAATACCCTGTGGCTGCTTACCAGTATCTTCTACATTGCAAAAAAACTCCCTTCCCTAGTTCTTGAAATACTTCTAAAAAAACAAAGCTTTTGTGCATTAACAAAGCGTGACACTTCATCTACGTGGAATGACTGTATTACTAATGACACTGTGCTTTGCTTTGTAAACAAGCTATTGTCTCCTATAGGCTGTTCACTGAATGCAATTTAGAAGCAGAATGAGTAATATACCAGATCTAGTATTACATAAGGAAGTCTGACACAGAAAAATACTAATTCCAGTCAACTCCTCAACCTCCTTTTCTCAATAGGATGCCCTCATAGGCGTAGTCAGGTGTAGCTATATTAGAACAGATTACGCGGCTGTACTGATATGGTCAGTTTCCCCATATACACAAAGCCCTGTGACTAATATTAGACATTTATAAGTATTACACATATGTGAGACAATTACAATGGATGGTATTTCAACAAGACCCAGTTGGGTATTATCTCCATTATGTAAAAAATAAAACATCAAATGGAAAACATTATATTTGTATTACAACACAACAAAAATACACTTCACTGAAATACAGAGATAGGAGTTCTCAGCTCTCTTGGGCAGTGGAAATCATGGATGTAATAGAAGAGGCGTGACTAGTCTTTGCTACAAGATGCCAGTTTCTGACACCCTCTACCACTTGAGCTCTACTTTGGCATTTGCAGTGGTCTGAGAGGAAATCATTCCTCCCACGTTGAAGTAAAAGATCATTAGCCACTGCTGGCAAGGAGATGAGCTGGAATATGAGAGAAAACAAAAAAAGGAATTTCACAGCTCTGTTGTGCTAAATGTATTCACTATCTTTTTGCTTTTCTTTTGATCCACATGATGCATTTCTCTTCACATCTCTTCACCAAATCAAAATTAAGCAGTCTTTCTGGGAACTGACACCTTTCGACATTTGTTCCCCACTTCTACATATCACTGATGCTGCATTATAGAGCTCTTCACCTATGCTAAGCTTGAGCACCTTTTTCTCAAGCTCTTTGTCAAGCCCTTCCTGCTAATCATGTATGTGCAACGGACAACACATGTGGAACCACAGCCCTAATATATCTGCGGGGGTTTACCTACCATGTTCAAAATCAAAAGTAAGCCTCAGCAAAGAAAAATAATTTTATATGCTTGACCCAATGGCTGAATGGACTTCTATTTCCTGCCACTACCCTTGCAATTGCATTTCAGCTTGCGAGCCATGATTTCAAGCCAAAGTAGAAGGGAAGAAGAATTCAACCAGCCTATTTAAAAGATTAACCATACACGTTAAATCATTAGGAACCTACGTTTTTGCAGTAACGTCCACGAACTGCCCTGGGCGGAAGTGAGCAGCGTACAAAGGAGTACCTTCAAAAGAAGAGGAGAGATCGTGTTCAACTAAGTGCTGAAATCCTCAAACCGCTAACCAGTCATTACTATCCAGGATAGATACAGTCACAGGAAAGGAAACAAAACTTTGTTTGTATTCACATATTATTTGTTCTTCTTTATAAACCTCACTGCGTAAAACAGATGCTTTGTAGTTTTGACTTAAGCACATTTCTCAGTTCCTAGCTCAATTTGAGATGAGGAGGAAGGAAGGGTAGGGCCTTTAATCAGATATGTTGCACTTCAGACACTGAAAGAGACAAAGCCTAAAATGCTTCATTAGTTAAGACTCACAATAAACAAACTTGGCAAAAAACCAGAAGATGCTCCACTTATAAATACTAGTACTTCACCAGGTGGAGGGTTTTTAAAAAAAAAACCAACCAAACAAAAAAACCCCCTAAACACTTCCTATAAAAAGTAGGGTTAAAGATAGTAAAAAAGTTTTGCAATGCTTCCTCTTTGTTAAGACGCAGTGTTTCCAAACTAAAGACTGTGGCAGAAGTACAGCTTCATCCACTGGGGAATGACCTGTACACTAGCCTTTAGTAGTAGTGCTTCTGTCAGTCAGTGAAATCACTCACCTGACTGCAATTACACTCATTCCCCTAAGTGCTTGTAGCCTCAAAGTTTTAATTTTAATTGAAGGTTTATTTTCTCTTCAGCAATTTTTTTCATCCAAGTGCAATGCTCTTTTATTAGCAGCTTTAAAAAAAAAAACAAAACCAGAATTGATAACTTAGTTCATTATAAATGAACTTTAATCTGAAGATCCATGCAGCAGCATCTCTGAGTTTCCAGCCTGTTTTAAGTGAACTAAAAAAAATGAAATTTTAATTGCTTCATGTCTACACCCATTTTCATGCTGTTTTAAGTCTGTATGAATGCAAACTGAAATGATGTAAACCTCTGCTAAGTCTCAAGCATAAAAATCCTCATATTATTTCATGTTATATTTATATGATCCATATACACCTGGGATAAGATACCTGTCACCTGACAGAAAATCACGTACATGAAGGATGTTATGTACAAAATACACACACTGTAAAATCAGTTTATTGAAAACATGCAATTCTGCTTTATCTCAGGCTTTTGCTTCCATTTATCAGTCCTGACTTCCTCTTCATGTCAGATTTCATTTTTATCACTTACCACACTGTCTTAAAAAGGTCTTGCAAAAACCCTCTCTAATGGCAAATAAAGACGTAATACATTAGAATTTCCTACCCTACCTAATTCTTGGGAAAATACCTATAACTGTCAAAAAGTACAAAATGAAAGCAACCTAAATACACTAGCTAATAAAACCTTAAAAACACAAGACTTTTCATTAAATCTCCAAACTTCTAATACTGTTTTTTACTGAGAACGTTTGTTACAACATGTTTTAATGTGTTTTACTTTGCAAGCTGCCAGAAAAAACGCCATATATGACAGCCATCAGTCCTACTTCTGAATGCAGCAAGAAGAAACAAACCTCAAAGTGCTGTTTTAGGCTCCTCAGAAACGTTACCACAAAATTCTCGGTGCCCCTCTCATAATCAGAGAACTTCCTGTAAATGCATTCATCTTTATTCCCAACAAGTCAGTCAAGTTTACAGACATTTATTTAAATCAATGTTCATATTAGCTAGACTGGGTAAGACTTGTTTCCCCTAAGAAAAAAAGTTTGCGCTCCAACAATGACAAAGAAATAAGAATTCAGCAATTTCCATACAAAACAAAAATTAAATACATATCATAACTTTGTTTAAGTTTACAAGGGGCAGACATTAAATGATTATGCATATAATATTCAGTAGCTCAAAAAGATTACCTGGTTTGATTAGGGCATCATCAGTTACATTAAATGTTGCAACTTTCTGCTTCCGTGGTACTCCAGCTTCTTTAAAAATTTTCATAGCAGACTCTGATTTCTGTAACGAAGAGCAGCCATGAAAAAGAAGTGATCTTAAAATACCCAAGGATCAACATAGCACAGAAAGTGGTTACAGGCTCTCAACACCACTCAGAGAAACAGATATATTATACTACACTTTTATCTTGAAACTAGCACTTTAACGCAATATAAAATCAATTTAAAATTCCTGTGTCTGCATTTTATTTTCCATCAACTAGTTACCCTACAGCTACATCATATAAAGAAGAGATATATGAAGATTTCTAAGATTAGAAAAGGGAAACCAATTATTTAGAATGTACCTAAAATATATTAGTGTTTTTTCATTACTTTCAAAGAGTTTTGTAGTAATTTTAAAACATGTTCTCTTTTTTAAATCTTGAAATGACTTAGTTCCACACCACCATAAATATATTTGACTTAACTAACAAAACCATAGAAATAAAGCCTGGTCTTGCAGAAACTTCTAGAAATGCTTAACTTCCCACAGAAGAGAATGTAGAGTCTCTAGACAAAAAAGGAAAAATGAAGAACAACAAGTTTATGATTAATGTATTTTTAAGATATACCAAATACACTCAGTGTCAAACCACTGCTGACATACCAAAGAAGGGCTCTTCTTTTTAGGAGTCTGACTAAAGTACTTAAAATTGTTCTCAGCTGTTTTAAACAAGACAACTCACAGAACAGCTGACCACTAAGATGATACCAAGCAATGGAAACAGTGATGGAGGAAAATTGTGGCCATAGGAAAAAAGCAATGCAGCTGATTTTTCTTCAGATGAATTCTCCTAGAAAGCAATTTAAGCATCTGACAATACTGTCACACTTGGATAGTCACATCTCTGAGGTTCACTTCTCAAAAGTTCTGTGGAGTTCTCTCTCTCAAAAATAATGTTGTGTATTTTAAGACAAAAAAAGTGAATAACTTTAAAATTGTTACTTAGTTTATTTTGAAAATCTGCATGGTGCCCTTCCCTTTGTTTTTAAAAATCTGTTTAAAAGTTTTAGGAGAACAGAGGAAGTTTTGTGAAGAATGAGGGAGCAAGATGATGAGGATCTCTGACTTTAGACACAAACCAGAAATTCTAGCTTTATGAATCTGTCCTTATTTGAGGAGAAAGTGTGGATGCAAAGTCTTTGAGAGTTAAAAGGGGTTTTTGAGTGATTTGTTAACTTGAGTTCATAGTACAAAACACTTAAAATACCTTTTTTTGTTTTAAAAAGAAAAAAGTCATCAACTAAATACAAAATCTGCCCTAAGACCACAAAAATTTGAGGCATCAATAGAGGACAACTGTATTAAACAATAGTACCAAGTATAAGAATTAAAAATAAAGAAATCCCCTCTCTAGTAAATGCCTTCATATCAATCCTTTATTGCCACTGTTACGTAAAACTGCTGCCTTAGATGACAGCAAGGGGAGCTCTGTGCTCAGCATGGGTGCCTGGAAAGAGCTACCACAGCTGAAAGAAAGCATAGTGAAGTCAAAGGGTAAAAACCGCTTACATCTCCAGAGTCCTACTATAGCCTTGCACTCTTCTACTTCAACAACAAGTTTTCTTCAAACAGTCAAGTCAGAGAGATGTATTTCTACAAAGAAAACACTGCAGTCTTTAAAAAGCCTTCCTAAAGAGCAATACTAAAGAGAAGAACATTGAGTGAATTCAGATGTTCTTAGTTTTAAAAAGACCAACAATATCTTCCAGTATTACAGGAAAATGATCCATATGCCCTCACTTAAGGGAAGCATGTAAAATATTTTTGACAAAACATTATTAGAACATTGACAGAATTGTACTTTTGAGAATAATTTTGCGTTAAAAAATCATGAAAAAATCTGTTCACTTGTAATAGACTGACATATAGCAAGCTAAAAGGGAAAAAAAATAATCTTGCTAAAAATGTGATACCCCTTATCATTTTTTAAGCAATTTGATGCTCAAAAGAAATACACTTTGTTAGTAAAATTACTGAGGGAATCATTAGACTGAATTCATTAAAAATCAGTAGCTGTGAGGAATCTGAGAAAGACAGATGTTCCTGTGAGGAATTAACAGAAGATAAACTGCTTATGCTAATACAATACAGTTTCATTCAGCTTTCTTTTAATTCTCACTTTTAGACACTTCAGAGAGAAAAGAAACACATAAAAAGACCGATAAACATAGGAGAGCAATGATGCAAACCTGCAGCTAAACCACAGAAAGACATCATTTGTTAGTAACTTAACAAGTAGAATTGCTCAGAATAGGCTTACCGAATTCTTTCTTAGAAATTATCTATTTTATACAATGATGATAACAACAACAACAATAATAATAATACAGAGCTCAGTCTCAGGCCAGGTCCTCACCACAGATTGGTCTAAGGATATTTCATTAATTTCTTTATTAAAATGAGCCTAAGTTCAACCAAATTAATAGGAGCTAACTTGAAAAAAGTAATGTCCAAGAGAGTCTTTAGCATAATTCAAACTACTAAAAAAAAAAAAAAAATCCTTGAGTTGACTTTTTAGGTAGTTCGGCTTTGAAGACATTTTCTTAGTTCACAAGAGTTGTTTAAATAGAAATTTTCTATGTATCTCCTTGCTTCCTGCACATTTTTACTCTGACAACATATTGAATCACTGATGGCATCATCTTTATGAAAACATCAACTGTAAGGAGTCTGATGTGCATAATACAACTTGAAAATTATTATTCACATGATTCTTGCGTGTCTTAAACCAAGGTAACAGGAAAGAAAAAACACAGCTGCAATTTCTCCAGGAAAAATGTCACACCTGGAAAGTGGAAACAGACTAAAGTGACAGGATGGACACCTGAAAAGTACAAGCAATGATAGCATAACCTCACTGAATAAAAGAAAGATACCTTAAAATAGAAGCCTGTTCAAAATCAATAGAATATACTATAAAAGCCAACAGGTTTATCAAATGAAAAAAGCTCCTTCTTCCCTCACCTGCACTAAAGCAAAAACAAGTACACAGATTAATTTTGAGGCTCTGGGACCACCTTCTGTTTGAAAAAGGGAAATATATATCCTCAAAAAGCCATAATCACCAACTGAGATAATCTGCTTAGTGATCGTGAGTCCTATCTTTTTTTTACTTGCCTAAATCAAACAAATGAGTGTCAGGATACTGTAAGAAGTGAAAAGTGATATTTTATAGAAATAATGGATCATAGAAATGGCAGTCCTTCAAGGGAAAGCTTTGTTCCTGCCTTGATCTATAATTCAATTTTCCCCTTCAGGAATGACAGCTCTGCTAGACAACCTTAGCCACTGAAGGTGTCTGGGAATTCCACATCAGGCATTTGGGGTGTCTAAACAAGTGAGTGGTTTTGACAGCACTGTTGATGAGCTATAATCATGAAGCTACCTTCCTGAAAATTTAAGTCTTAAACTTATTCATCAGTAAAATGATATGCAAATTAATCAATCTCAGCAGGCCTGTGGAAAAATTACAGCTAAAGCTAATAAAACAGTATGGAAGACTAAGCTAGAGAACAAACTCTTCTAAACAACTGATGAGATGGGTAAGTTTACAAAAGGCCATTCAAGTATGTATCTTGCAGTCCTTGTCTCATATTGCATCTCCACAGAGATGGGGAACACACATGTTTGTACACTGCTAATGGCCCTTCAGACCCTTTCGTCAGCATGGGACACTGAACATCAAAGCAACTTCCTAAACCCACAGCTTTCCTTGAGAATCAAGAGGCAAAACTTTCAAAAAGTTCTTGCTATTCTCTTAACCAACAATCAACACTAGAATTAAGGAAATAAGCAAGGGTCAATGTGACAAAAGATCAGTTCCAAGGCATGCATGTCTGTCAATTAACCTTTTAAAGAAGTCTACCTGTGCTACTTTAATCATGTACTGTAATCACAACAGAAATAACTATTCTAACAAAAACACCCAAAGTGGTTCACTTACAAAAAAAGGAGATGCGTTTTTGCCTCCAACAAGTAGCTTAGATGTTTTTCCACCCGACTCTTCCTTTGAAATGTATCTTAAAACATGGCAATCTTGCACCTTAAGAAAAGAAAGATAGTGTTTATTTGAGGATAAGCAGATGTGTACGTTTTGAGACCACAGAGATTATCAAAACAAGTGAAACAAAGCCAGTCTCTATTTTCATTTGTATCTATATAACAGGAGATACAGCCTACAAGTAGGAGAGCATGTTACCTTTTTACCATAGGCATTCTTTTGCCAAAAAGTAAAAGGCTTATCTTAGAAAAAAATATTTGTGGAATGCAAACTATGTTTTCATAAATGCTCTAGAAATCAAATGAAATTTTATAGTCATATTTTGCCTGCAAGATCTGCAAAATCCCTACTGGCAAAGCATACAATAAGAGCCCACATTTTAGACTCCTGCTCCTTTGCCCTGTAAACCTGATCTCCTTCACAGCAGTGGTTCATCATATGGCAGCGACATGGTTCATCACATGGCACGTCAGTGAACAGCTTCATCACAGTAGTAGCTGCCAGAGAATATGAAGAAGCAGCTTCAGGGCTACAAAGGCTCAGAAACCAAAGTGAAACTAATCCCAAAGTGCCCGCAGGTGGCAAAAATAAAAAAAGTGAAGTGGGGTAGTTAACCCCAGCTTTATGCTGCCTCCCATCTTCCCTCACCTAGGTAATACTTATGCACAGTTCTGCAGCCCTTGAATAGCTGAGGCAGAAGGCAGACCACTCCTAGAAAGTTCAGCATATAAACAGAATAGGCCTGGTGTACTATGCAGGGTTGAAAGAAATCTTTCTTTAGGGATTTCCTACTCTGTACAAGTGGTAAGTTTCACTTTTGCCTGAAACTTCTGGTTAATGATCTGAATACAGTACAGGAGATAAAATTCATTATCATTTATTTCACCTTAAGTAGTGTGACAGCATGTTTTTTTCCTGACTTGGTCCATATTGGCATCATTCCCAGTTTTACTGCAACAACACCAACTCTGATGGAATCTGTAGACCAAAACAGAACATGGATGCAAGTCCACACTTAATATTTGAAAAAGCCCATCTCATAACCCGCAAAGTCCCATTAACTCTGATCTTTCCTAAGGAGTTCAAAAAGGAGAGAAAACATTGCTGACTCCCTGCGGGTAGGCTGAGAATAACCTGTTCACTGCTTTTAATCCCACTAGCAGTAAAGGTCTATCTGTTCCAGTTGCATTTGATAGAACATGGAAACTAGCTCTCCATTAAGATTAGAGCAACCAATGCTTCAGACTCATTTTTTTTTTAGAAAATACAACACCTATGTAGAATATTAGAGCCAAACTAACTATTGAAAAGCTTACTGTAGGAGGTTCCTCCCACCCCAACTTTTGCACATTTTTGTCACTGTAACTGTACAGCAAAGGCAACCTGTCGTCTGGCTTCTGACAGTCCGTGGCGTGAAAAACAGAACATGTAAGATGAAGAATAAATGCTTTAAAGTTTGAAAAATGCTCTTTGTTCCAGTTTCCACCGTCATACCTGAGGATCTGCTCACGGATTTGCAGACTGTCAGGTCTGCTGTCAAATGATGTGATCCTTTTGAAGGCTCAAAAACTTTATATTGTGTTCTAGTCCATAGGACTTTGGAATCACTGAATAGAAGTGGGATGTATTATACACTACACTTTTTCTCCAGAGTGCAGCAAAATTTACAAGAACATTTTCAAGTTCTTATACTTTATATTCCAGGGAGTCTTTTTTTAATGAATCCTTAGTTTATTACCTTGTCATTGTGCAGCAGTGGGACTGGCCAAGTGCTGATTTGGACTAAACCCAAAGTTCTTACAAGGTTCTTAACACCCTGTAATATTTTAAATGCTTTTTAGAGAGCTGATGCATTACATTTACTTATTTACTAGGAGATGTATTGGATGATTGAGGCAAAAGCAAAAAGGAGAATACAAGACACATTTCCGATATGACTCAATGCAACAACACAACAACGATAATTTCAGCAAGAGTTTGGTATTTCAGAAGAGATACTTTCTCACCTGGTTTCCACTCATTCAGTGGCCACGGCTCATCTTTCAGAGGGCACAGCTTGCTGGCTGTCTGAGCTTTGTATTCCTCTGCAGTTATCTTCTTGAGGAACTGGACATTCTCTTCAGAAAGATGCTCATGCCACCATGTTGTACTGTTAACATGCCTAACCACAAAGCCCAGCTGCCTCCTTTCCAGTGGTGGGAGAAAGTTTTAAGTGTCTTATCAGTTCAAATAATGTCTCATAAGATGCATGTTTGTAATGCAATATATACTACATATCATTACATAATAGAGTATAAAATCATAAAGGCCGAAATTATACTAGCAAGCTATTCAACTACCATCACTCAAACTGGCCACCCTTGACCTACAACACCTAACTATTTGTCATACTCTCATCTAACTTTTAAAGTATCACAAAATATACTGAAGGGGAGTAAGCAAAAACAAATCAAATGACCACTCCTTCTACAATAAAAAAAACCTAGATCTGTGAACGAAGAGATAGCAGTGGGTGGTGTTTACTTTAACTTTAGCAAGGCTTTCAACACAGTCTCCTGTGGCATCCTTCTATCCAAGCTGGGATGTTACAGCATGGATGGGAGGGCTAGCAGATGGGCAAAAACCTGGCTGGATCATCAGGCTGAAAGAGTCGCAGGTAATGGGTTGCACTCTACCAGAAGGCCAGCTACAAGCAGAGTTCCTCAAGAGCCTATTCAGGGACTTGTCCTGTTTAATAAGTTTATCAGTGACCTGTAAGAGGGGACAAACGCACCCTTCTTAAGTTTGCCAATAAAACTGAACTGAAGGGAGCAGTTGATAACGCTCAAGAGCAGCCCTCTGCCAGTCAGAGAGACAAGCCAACAAGGAACCCGATGAAATTCATAAGGGAGAAATGCAAAGTCCCACACCTGGGATGGAATAACCTCTTGCAAGGGTACAGGCCATGACTTCAGGAGAGCTGCTCCCCAGTCTGGCAAAGGACCTGGGAGTCCTGGGGGGCAAAAAGGTAAAAAAGGAGCCAGCAGGCTCCTGGCAGCAATGAGGGCTAACAGTAGCCTGGGCTGCATCAACAGAAGCACGGTCAGGAGATAAAGGGAAGCAGTTATCATCCTTTCTTCAGCACTCCAAGTAGACCACATCTGCAATACTAAATCCAGTTTTAGGTTCCCAGTGTAACAGGGATGTTTATAAATGAGCCAGTACAGCAGTGGTACAAAAAAATACAGGGGCTGGAGCACTTGCCCTGTGAGGAGGATTGAGGTAACTGGGCTTGTTTAGTCTGGAGAACAGGAGGCTTAGGGGGGACTGACAGCAGCTTTCCAATAGCTACGAGAAGGTTACTGACAGGACAGAGCCATGCTGTGTTTACTGAGGTGCATGCCAGGAGAACGAGAGGACTGGTATAAACTGGAAAAGGGGGTTCTGATTTGACGTAAGGAAAAAACGTTCAGCTTGAGGACAGTCAAACACTGGAACAGGGGCCCAGTGAGACTGTTCTTGGAGGCTCTCAAGGCCCAACCAGACAAAGCCCGGAGCACCCTGGTCTGACCTCAGAGCTGGCCACAGTGCAAGCAGGAGCTTAGACGAGAAAGCTCCTCAGCTCCCTTCCAGCCCCAACAACTCTCCGATTTCACGCTCACTGCTAAACACTCACTGTACTGTCATAACTTCTGCGAGCGCTAAGAACAGCTTGAGCGCTCCTCAATCCTCTTCAACGAAACAGAGTATTGAGCAACACAGCAGCGAAAGCACGCGGCTAGTTGTACCAGCAGGCCAGGGTGACTCAAAACGCGGCAGGTCAAGCCGCTCGCTGCGGAGCAAAGGCGCTTTGGTTGCAAACACGCGTGTCCTGCCGTGACTCCCACGCAGGCTGGGTCTGTTACCGAGGCCTGGGTGCCCCGCCACCGAACCGGGGCCCTGACACCTTTGCACTCGCAAACCCTCCGGGCGCTGCCGGCGGGCTGCGCCCAGCGGCCCCGCCGAAGGGCGGAGACCGGAGGGGCCGCCGAGGGGAAGGGAAGGGAAGGGGAAGGGGCCCCTCATCTCGGGGCTGCACAGGGGCC